TTTCCACAAATAATTCAAAAATTTTCCAAATAAAAACTGCAGGTATTCCAGTAAACATAAGATCCACTTATCTATCGATTTGATTGCTCTGTCAATTTGAGATTCTATATTGTATAGACAAAATAGTTARATTATTTAACTAAAATAAAAAATTAATTCTTAAATCTTAATAGATAAAAAAAATTGTTATTCAATATTAGAAAATATTTAAAAACTGTGTTCATTGCCATTTAAAAACGCTTCTTACACCTATTCTCAGCATTTCAACCTTATTAAGTTGAAAGTCATGACACACGTTATAAAAACTAAAATGTATAATTATTGAAATAAATTAATAAATCGACAGTAATTTATTCGTTATTTTTTTATGCTTTCGTTGTCATTAATTTTTTATACCTACATTTTATACGAAATAAACTATTAAAAATATTTTAAGTTTACTGATTAAATGTTTTAATCAGGTTACCTTAGTGTTGTATGAGGTAAGTAAATCAAAGGACTTTTCAAAACAAATTTAGATTAAACTTTATTAAGTTTAATCAAATCACATGTAATAATTTTCAAACGATTTGTTTTAAATAGATGTAGTGTTTATTAAATAATTTTTAATTAAAGGGATGAGAGATAAAATTGAAATTCATAACTTTTAAAGTTTATGAAGATTAAAATAATGGCTATAAAATTATTATTCAAGCCAACCTATTTTTTAGAACTTAAATAATTGTTATATTTTGAAATCCGTAAGTACCTACTCCAAMAATGCACGTATGTTTTTTTAAATTTCTAATGAAAAATATTTATACAATATTTAACTTTTAATATTATTCATCCATGTGTCAGTTAATAATAACGTATACTGGTATACTTCCCTACTTTTTTTATTTAAATATATATATTGTGTGATGCACAATTTTATTTACAATTTTTYGAAATCTAATGCCGTAATACACAAGAATATTGGGTATTTATAATTCTTTGACTGGTCTTTAAACATTAATTTAACATTATGATAGTACACTTTTTTTTACAACAGACATTTGTCATATAGCTGATATATTATTATTACTAGAAAGAAAAATAGTACGACCCTTCCTCGATATTATAACAGGAAATAAATAGTGATTTACTCGTATCTGTCAACGTTATTGCGTAACGGTGTTTGTTGCAAGTTCGACTAAAAAAAAAAACATATAATAAAAATTCGAAATGTATGTATAAACATTTCGAATACAAATAAATAAACGACGGCTGGACGGAAGTATATTAACTGAAAGCTAGAACAAGGAATAACAATATATCATATTATTTATGTAGGTTTTATATCTACAATGCAAGTTTTGGAGCTTAAAACAACCATCTAATTACTGCAATTATAATATAATTTAAGTGTCTGATATAGGTTATGGAGAGTATATTATAATATTGTCGGTACTAAATATTTTGAACGATATTTAAGTTCAACACCATATTTTTTTATTTTTTATTAAAGAAAAAGCCTCGGTAACGTGACCATTGGCTTGTTTTTACAGATACTGATAATTTAAATTAAATTGTACAAATCAATATCTTTCAAAAATAAAAATATATTTGCCATATTTTTATTTTGATAGGTAATACAATATAATCGGTCTTATATAAAAAAAAAAAAGGTCGCGATGTTTTATCGCCTATAGCTTATACCTCCATACCTACCCAATGTTATTATAATAGAACTTGCAGTTATCTTACGTAATACACTTTTAGTGTTTGACGTAAATGACTACTCTTTTACGTGATTTTTTAGTTTAAGACTTATCGGCGTGAGCGTCCGTCGTTCTTTTGAACTGCTTATTATATCCATCACCGTGCGCCACTATTTTTAATAAGTTAGAAATTTAGAATGATGTATAATTGTAGTGACTCGTTTAGATCCAAATATTGTTGTCGTGCACCTGTCTACCTTATGAAATTTGTAATAGTAATTCCGTGTGCTTTTGACGTACACGATGTAAGTTATGAAGTTGTTAGGTTGTTGTAGTGTTRTATCTTTGTTGCCACTCAAAGGCAAAAACAGTAAGTGGTCCAATAGAACAGCTRTTACAGCCTTTAGTTTAGTTTACGTTTTATTGTTTTTAACTTGCTGTTCACTCCGAATACTCACAATTAAATCTAAATTCTAAAAAATGTATGATGGAATAATATTAATTATGTTAAATTTAAAAGTACCTATAATGAAATATTAAATATTCTATGATTAGAATTGGGTAAGTTTCTTAATATTCGGCTTGAGTTGAATATAAGTAAATAAATATAAGTAATTTGTAAAAATAAGTAAATTTTTACAAATATTTGACAAATGAACACAAATCCACAAGATTTTTACATAAATTTACGGATATTTCATCGATTTGTACTCTTGGTCTTTTGATTTTACTGTTCTCCTGAAATCCGAAATAAAAGATTACGAATCATTCGTGAATAGTTTTGGGCCTCGAATGACGAATAACCTTTACTACGTACTATTCATATATTTAAACTAATCTCGAACCACTAACCGTGAACAACGAATACGCACACACTAAGTGTAATATTTATCTRAAGCTAACTTTAGATAAATATCACCTTTATAGTTCAATTATATTTAAACATAATATTAATATTATATAATGTGGCTGGCATCGATTGAACAACAATCAACCGTACAATGTCCACACGCAATGAGATCGAATTAATATTATTTATGTATATATAATAGTTATACACTTTTATTGTAGAATTAAAATAGATATATTTAAAAAAAAAATTCAAGTTCAAAGCTAATGTACAGTTGTACGTAATTTGTCTATGTCATAAAGATATAACGCTATATAATGCTCAATGGCATCATTTATTTGAAAATTTAGTTTTCTTGTAGGCTTTCTTTTATAATAGGGTGTAACCACCTTCTGGGTGGCTATTGATGTAAGTCATAATAATTATCCATATCAAGTTATAGTGTCCAAGAACGTATTTAATTTTCATAAAACAATTTTTACACTGTGATGAGTAGTATATCGGTAATTATTGTAATAAACGAATATTTACCTTTTTATTAATAACTACAGAATACCCTTAAATATGAATTTTACACAGTTTCAATGCGATATTGATAATAATTAATTATTACTATTATTGAATTATATACACAAACGACTTACCCCATAAGTAAGAAACTGTTAAATATAATAGTAGAAGATATTTACTAGATTTATTATCTAGAATCTAATACCTAATACAAAATGATTCAAAATCGTATGAATTTCTTAAGTTGATTAGTTCAAGTATAAATTTTATTTTTTTGCTTTTATTCTTGAATATCACCTACGTAGTCGTAATTAATTTTATGAGAAACTTAATTTCACATCAGTATAGATAAATAAAATTATTATAAGAAATCAACACGAGAGAACGATGGATTTTTATCCATACTACCCACTATTGGTTGGGTAAATAAACGACTTTTGGAATGTTTCCGTATTCCGGCAACAAACAGCGATATCGCATACACCTAATCTCCGGTCGCGTCTACTGAGCGTACCTACCGTCAGCTATGAATTAATATAGGTACCTACTGTCAAGTCTCTCACTCTCGTCCACTATAGGTGTATACGATATTCACGTAATCATTTATAATAAGAAAAGGTAGTTCTTATTTGAAAACTCTAAATGGTGGAACAGTAAGTGTTATAATTATTTTAAAACGTGTTCTTTGATTAAACTTAAAAATCCTTAAAAACAGAATTAAAAAAATATGCATAACAAAATGTAGTATACAGTATGAATTTCCAGTAAATCGCCTTGTATACCTGTAGCTAAACGTAATTTGCATTCATAGCTATGTCCTTGGCGTGACGTAAGTACATTTATTCTCTCCAATTTCTGTGTGATTTCCCATAATGTTGGTGTATAATATATATATATATATATATATGTATAGTATGTGAATAAATCTGTAGTTGTAATCTTAATCTCAACGTCTTCAGATACAGGCTAGCACCTTTTATTAAGAGTTTTTTCCGCCCTTGGGCAATACAGAACTGAGCCGCTTCACGTACACTGTGATTACAAATGTTCACATTAATTTTTTGTGCTTGTTAAAATTATAAATTGAAAAACTATCCCACTGTTATTTATTAATTAAACACGTCAATGAACAAATGAAAAATTAGTTTAGTAAATTTAATATATGAACACGCTAGTCACCATTTCTTTTAAAATGTCCACAAGGGGAACTTCTATCCCTCCAAAATTTCACTCTGGAAACAAGTTTACAAGTTCTATAAAATATGTAGTTTGTTATAAAAAAACAATGTCATACTGTAGTTGAACAGGGTTTTCTATGATAAGAGTATAAGACACATAGTGAAATAGAACTACAACGCTATAGCAACAGCTGATAGGTACTTACTCTAGCTGTATTGAATAATATAGTAGTGCAAACCTTATACTTGCGGAACTTTATATTTTTATGTAATTTAATACTGCAARATGAATAATAAAATAAAGTTATATGCGTTTGTGATAATAATGAGGACCACTATAATGGTATAAAATAAAAATGATGATATTGTATAAAACCAGCTACCTTTTGTTTTCAACGCATTGAGTTTAATCTCGWATAATAACGACATWTTTAACCTGCATCGATACAAATCAATTAATTAGACTATTGATGACTTTGGAATGCATAGTATATAATATAATGTACRCTGTACCCATAGTATGTTATAAATTGGGGCATTACTATAAGCAGTAAATGATTTATAAATGTTAATATGCGTATTGATGATTTAAAAGGACACATAATAACACTAATCGATTAATTGATTTTTCAGATGAAATCATGTTTTCCACTTCTGGTCATCATGCTCACGACAGTGGCGGCGACACCTTGCATATTCAACAGCATGTGTACATGCAAAACAGACGAAGCATTAAGAATGCACATCGCATGTGTTGCTGTTCCTTTATATACAATCCCAGGTAACTGAAAATAAACATAATATCTAATCATTGGTAAAAAATAATTTTAAGTCACAATTTGATAATTTGATTTTAAGTCACAGTTTATGGTTATTAAATGAAATTTGTCAAGGTTCTTAAACAAACTAAATAAAATTGTATTATATTTTTGGATATTTTGGGATTAATTTGTTTTTTTTTTTTTTATAGAAGTAGCAACTGGTACTCGGATAAGTCACATGGATATCATGTCATCTGAGATCGAGGTTGTCGACAATGATATATTACAAGGAACACATATTGAATCATTAAGGTTGATGAGCAATAGAATCGGAATCATTTCTGAAAGGGCCTTCGCGTATGTTAAAACTATTTATTATAATAATTATAATAATTAATAACCATTTAATGAAAATGTATTGTAATTTCTATCGTTAAATACAAAAGTTTAATATTCATAAAATCATAACTATTTTGGAATGTATATTTTCTCGAATAAAAAAGAGAGTTTTAAGAATTTGAATAAAATTTATGTTTATTTTTTATGAGAAGTTCTTCCGCCRAAATTTAAAAAAAATACGAAAAAATATAAAATCAATGTTTTTTATAAACATTTTAGGATCAAATTTTGATAAGATTAGATATTTAAACAATTTTAGTWATTTTGTTGAAATTCAAAAATATTATTGATGTGAATATGACATTTTTACGTATATTGTTAAGTTTTTTAATGCAATGACTTAGGGGAACATTAATTCAACATGATGTATTATTAGAGTAGGTAGTAAAATAAAATTTTTAAAAAGCAATATAAATAGATCATTGGTTGACAATCTGTCCTCAKTCAACCATTTTTCGTACCTAGATAGTGGTTTATCATAAAATTTAAATTTAACACAATATACATTACGCTATTGCAGTGATGACCTACTCAACAACGAAGTACACTCAACACTTATTGGGTAACAGAGAGGTTATATATTTTTCCGATTTCCCCCATTTTTACTTAAATTTTTTTAGAGTCATTTCAAATTTTGACCATTCGAAATACAACCTAGATCAATATTTACAACAGAAATATCTATATATATTAAAATTGATCACCGGAGAATTTTTCTACTATAAAAAGTTTTTTCAGACAAATTGAAAAACATATACATCATTGTAATATCATAACATTCCTGTCTCCACTCAAAATCTAAAATAATATGAATACAACATTTAAATGTTAGTTTATACTCAAAATATAACGATTATACATTATACATTATACATTTCGTTAAGTCAAGTCACTTATGAACTTATTAGCATTTCTGCACAAATGATAATATTATGGCATATTAAACCATTTATGTTTGTCAAACTTAACTGAACTCCTACAATCTGTTGTCATTTATCTTATGCATTACATTAGTCTTAATAATATTACACATTATATAGTTTTATTTGCAAATATCTTGCTTAAGTCTGGCTTTGTTAATAATTAAAACAAAGCTATTACCTTATGCAGGCTATACTAATTTCATAGAGAAAATCTTCAAACATTTTTTAGAGTAAATAATAATCAATTTTTTAGGAATCAACATTTGGCTTTTCATATTTTTTATTTTTTTCACACAATAGTTTCAAGTGTTTCAAATTAAATGAAAAATTTAAATTAATGTACATATTTTCTTTAAAATGTATTGCATATTAAATTCAAATTCTCAACTAAATTTTTAAATTAATAACTAATATGTTACTATTTAAGTTATTTAATTTTACTTAGCACATATCACATTTCCTTACACAATTCAACATAGTTTCGAGAACCGCTGTRATATTAGAAGTAGTATTAATGGTCTTATCATTAACATATTACTTTATAAGATGCTTTGCATAATATTATTAAAAGGTATTATAATTTCATTAATATTTTGAGTTGATGTAGTGCCATTGTTCCTACAATAATCAGACACAAGACAAATGCATTGTTTTATTCTAATAAACCTTAGAAGTTAGAAGTATTGTAATATCATCAAGTATTCTCGTATAATGRCTAAAACAGGATACTTAACCAATGTTCAAAATGACTACATTGTATTTTTAAAATATTTAGGGATAAGGAATTATTTTAAATACAAACAATTTTTTTAAACTTTTTTAGATTCTAAAAACTGTAAATTTTCGTTTAATTATTGTTTTATATTTTACAATTTTAGTTATTATAAAAATAAAATAATTCAAATATAAAATAAAAATATATGTTATCATTATTTTCCTATCATCGTTTATTTGTTAATTCAATATTGTTTTTAAATTATGTTATGATTATTTTCAAGCTAAAATTATTTTTGTTTTAATGTCATGAGTAGGTTATTGTCATGTATGTGTTAAATTTTATTCAATAATAAAGTATTGCTCACAAAAAAACGACTTTGAGTGAGAAATTTATATGTCATCCTTTGCTTCTATAAGGATATTTTAGAATTTATTTATATTGTTATTATTATTTATTACTAAAATAAATAAGTTTTTCTAATAGTTATACGGTGAGTTGAAGTTTGACTGTCATCAGCATATTCTGTAGTGAGTAGAAGTGTAACAAAATTYCTACCTTAAATATCACATTCTAAACAAATCCAAGTTTTTATGTAAAATCAATGTATTTATTTTAATTGGGTGATATTGATCATTTTTGTCTTATAGCTTGGGATAATTACTTATTATTATATCATATACTACATTATTAAAACTATAATTAAAGATAATATATTGAATAATACAACTTAACATGCACTGTGATCTATCAAGTATGTACACACACTTTTTTCTTCAATATCACAGTTATTAAAAATCTGATTTTTGAAATTTTGAATATACTTTAGAATTTAGATCCATATTTTAGAATTCTTGAGATTTTATGTACTACTATTAAGGAGCTTTTTATGGAGCAAGCTTCTTTTTTTCAAATAAGAACCCCTCCTTTCCAACTACTTAACAATTTTCCAGTTCATAATTCTTTTGAACAATTATTATGATATGTCAGAATATTTCTACGATAAGTTTTTGAGTTAAATAAATTTGTGTTTTAAGGATAAAAGGTACATGGTTTTATATGGGTTTATGTCGTTTATGMCATTTGGGACTATGGTGTTTTRAAAATTGTATTGATTTATATTAATCCATCAACATTAATAATTTGTCCAAGTATAATTAATATTAGTTCCAATATTCAGTATATTTATATTTTTGGAAAACTATTTTTTAGGATTATTATCCTTATTACTGCAAATAAATTCAAATTACCAAAATACCAATGTAATTGTACACCGAATAATTTACAGTAGGTAATAAAAGATTCTCATTTGAAAAACAGTAWTTAATATCGACACAGAACACTTCTTACGTAGTAAAAAACAAATTAAGAATTTAAAAAAAATTGTATTTGAGTATATTTAAAAGTTATAAAAACCAGAATTCAAATAAATTCATTATTAAAGAAAAAATGGGATTGAGCATGCTAATTATACATACTGTATACATATTATTTCAACATATTTTGTTCAAAAACAAATTATTTTAGGTAATTTATGAAATGTGATTTATTAAAATATCTATAATAGTATAAATAGCCATACACCATTATAGTAAGTTATAAAAATAATAATATTAACAATTCCAGTGTAATTGCATTGAAATATTTGTATATTCTAGAATAATAATTATTAACATATTTTATAGAATCATATTATGTAATATATATGTATGTAACTTACGTAAATATTAATGCGAAATGCCTTAAGTTTCCTAACTCTCTGTATGATATAAATTGTTGTTTTCAAATTTCTTAGTCTAATTAAATATCATACAATAATTATCCAACTGATTATCTGTCATGGTAATTAACAGTTTGTAATTACATTTAACAAACTTACGAATACTAAATAGTAGAAAAAGTGCACACATTTTTATTTCATGAGGGACTTTAGAGTTTAGATAACAAATCATCGCTGTATAACAACGTATCAGTTCTACTTTTATTAATTTTATCAAGATTTGTTTTCTTAATATATACATAATTTTTTTTTATGTTAGTCTATTTTTCGAGCAGTAAAATTTCAGATTATAATAGCAAATAGGGTATAATTGGTACTTTTTTGGGGATCAAAAATGAATATTTCAAGTAGGTTCTTTTCAAAATTCGGGATAATAAATACAAAAGTTTTTGCRTAAAATCAGTTTTTAAATTTTTGTGGTAACTTAAAAACGATTMAATTTGGTTAGGTACTTATAATTAATAAATTATAAATATACACTACATATTTTAAATAGCATTTTCTAGGTTTAAAAAAAATAATTGTTTTCTAATTATGTATGATACCATTTTAATCATTGAATAAAAAACTAGAATTAATACGAAATTCCTTATAAGTTGTTCACACTCCAATAAAAMATATCTTAAATACCGTGTACCTATTAACACCTTTCTATGATACTCCAGTATTGACTTATGAATTATAAATTAAAACCAACCAATAACATAATAATAATAATACAATAATAGGTATTACAATATAATAAAAACATGTTTTTTAGGAAAAAATTAATGGTAACTTATAGCTAGTATATTACTAATAGCAATATGAATATACAATAAAATATCTTCAGATATAATATAGACATTCGTTTTTCTCATGCAATGATTTATTATTGATTTAAARTTTAATATATCTCTTACAGTGTCCTACTATATACATTTAATATACGACAGAACTGATTTCCAAGTTTTAAATGTAGAATTTTTCATAAAAAATTTRTACAATTTTAATGTGTTGTACTACTTACTATATCMAAATAATATATTATTTAATAGCATGCTAATAAATCATTCAMTTTTTTTGGAATTTGTATCAATTTTATATTTGGATACTACACCATCAGTTTTTATATGAAATAAATATTTTGTATAAAAAATTAACAAAATAAACCTTTAATATACGGGATAATTAATAAATTATTTTAAAAGCAGCAAAACGGAGACCCTGTGTTGGCAAAGCTGCCACAATTTTACTGGAAACCTTTTTTAAGGGCATGTGATGAGTATCATTCTATTACCTTGTTTTGATTGAGTATTTTTATATCACTTCGTTGTCGCTAGGCGAATACATTAATTGCATTTACGGGTATGATTATTTATATCATTCAATGTATATTTAACATTTCAGTCAGTAAAAGAATTGAGACATTATTACATACATTGGAAGTATCATACTTGGTTACAATATTTCGATAAAAATTGTTTTAGCGAGCTGAGTTTCTGTTATCAGATCAATCTCATCTAAATATTGTCATTGATCAGTTCAACGAAATTGGAATTAGGTTCTTGTGAATGGCACAAATGAACAATATACAATTATCGCCTATTTTTCACTGTCTAGACGAATTGAAATCTACTTTATTTTTACAACAAACATATGTTTTTTAATTTAAGTATTTGATTGTTTTGCATAGTTTTTAAGTCCATTTAAAGCTGCCTGTATACTATTACAACTCTTACMCTGTGTTATTATATTGTTTGGATAATATTTTCTTGTAAAAATAAACTCTTTCTATAATTAATTGAATTTACTAATCTATAATAACATATAAAATATAAAGTACACACATTTAATTATCACAGATATATTTTAAATAATATAACGAAATTAATAGTAGRTATAACATTATTTATATTATAATATATATAAGTTACCACTAAAAATCTTACAAGTAAATTAATTCTAGAGTTAGCAATGTTTAATTAAATTAATGTATGTMTAGGCGTAAAGATAATTATTAGCAATACACAAGTCACAAAATATGAAAATATGTGTTTTGCTACCATTAAAATTAAAACATATTTTATACAAACATTTTTAACACAACATTATATTCTGTCTACTACAGTGACAAACGGGTTATTTTTGGTWTTTCTATTAGTTTATTAGGCAGGTATCTATATTTTCCTCGTATTCAGTAAGATTTTTATTTTGTTTTAGCTTCTAGTAAAATGAAAAAAATAATTATAATAAGATTTTTCTTCTTGTTGAATTTCCTTATAAAATTACAAGAATCAAAAATCATAGTGAGTTTGTTATTCCAAAATTACAAAAATTGGCTAGAATGACATATTTTATAATTGGTTCTGAAAATAAATAATTATTTATATAAATCTGTAATGATGCAATATCTCCTGATAAAAAATATTTTTAATTTATTTATTTAAAAAAACACATATAAATGATTAGTAAATAATTGTATTTTCAATGATTGCAGGTCGTCCGGGTCAGTTCTAAGAGCCCTTGATCTCAGCTACAACCAATTGGATAAAGTGCCACTTAAATCATTTTTCAATATAAAAAATTTGGATTGGCTTAATTTACATGGGTGATTATTAGATTTGAATAACTATTATATAAATTACACTATTTTCATATTTACATATATTAACAAATAGTTGAATTAATTATATTAACATGTTGTGAATTACAGTAATAACATAGAAGTTGTGGAAACGCATTGGAATCATTTGCAAGATACTCTACAACATTTATTTATTGGCGAAAATGATTTAATATTATTTCCCGAACATTTTTCAAAACTACGAACTTTATCAACACTAAATCTAGATAATAATTTGATTACGTCAATTCCATCTAATATTAGAACTCCTCCGACGCTAGAAACATTGAGCATATCAAATAATTTTCTACAAGAGTTTCCATTGTCACTATTGGAAACTGGTACTGCATTAAATAGATTATACATCCGCGACAATTATATAGAAAATATGACAAAAATAATTCCAAATAGATTTGTTAAACTAGATGTTTTAGATTTTGGCATGAATCGATTAGACAGTTGGTCAGGTCGAATGTTTGGCGGTCGTTCAGAAGTAAGAAATTTACACTTAGATATGAATCGATTAGAGTCCCTGGATGCTAATGCATTTGATGGATTGCGATCAGTTCGGATGTATCTATCATATAACAAGTTAAAAAATTTGAACCACAAAACATTTGAAGGTCTTGAAAGAATACTAGAGTATTTGGACTTGGAACATAATAATTTAGGAATAATACCAACRGCAATAAGAACATTAAAAAATTTAAAATTTTTGTATTTATCRTCAAACGATCTCAATAAATTAGATTCAGGGGATTTCACAGGCGTGTCATCGAGCTTGAGGTCACTTTCATTATCTGGGAATCTCCTTACGGAAATTCCAAGCAATGCATTGATGAACTGCACTAAACTATCTCATTTAAATTTAGGATATAATTTTATCAGAGAAATAAAAGAAAATGACTTTGGAGAATGGGCCATGCACCTTGATACATTACTACTGATGAACAATAAATTAAAAGAACTCATTGGAAGACCTTTCAAAAACACGAATGCTCTTCGGGAATTAAGTTTATCTTTTAATAATATTCATTACGTAGATGCTGACGTATTTTTGGATTTAGCTACATCGCTAGAAAGTTTAGAAATTAGTTTCGGCGTTTACTATGACAACTTTCCAGTTAAAATACTTAGACACCTCAAGTCTTTGTTGTGGTTAGTACTTGATAATAACGATATTTCATCGGTGCCATTTGATTCATTGTATTCGCTAGATAGTCTTCAGTATTTGAACTTAGAGTCTAATAGGATATCTGTATTGGCTCCCGGGACATTTGGTGCACCGAACCAAACTGATCTTCGTGAARTAAGACTGAATCAAAATTATTTAATGTCTTTAGAACCAAAGACGTTTTCCAATCTGCAACAACTACAAACGATAACTATATCTAGGAACAAAATTATTGAAGTGATGTCGCACTCCTTTAAAGAACTTCCAAGACTACTCAATATTGACTTATCGTTTAATCAAATTGAATACATCCAGCCATCAGCATTTCACGGCTTACCAAATTTTAAACGTCTTGATTTGCAAGGAAATCAATTGAAGGAATTGCGAATGACGTCATTTGTAAATTGCACTAATTCAAAAACGCCATTGTCCTTAAACGTATCCAACAATCGTATTGAAAGAATGCCGATTGACGATTCATTGACGCCAATTCACATAAAAATATTAGACTTAAGTCATAATAGTTTACAAGATTTACCATTTAAATTGTTAGATTTCATATCTAGCTCACTTAGAAATTTATACTTGGATCATAATCGAATAACCAAGATATATAACTCCGAATTCATAAACTTAACGAACTTAGAAGTTCTATCAATCACCGAAAATGGTATGACATCAATAGCATCAAAAGCATTTAGTAATTTAACTTCTTTGCAAATACTATATTTATCTGGTAATAAGATACAACAATTATCGTCCCAACAGTTTGCAACATTACCAAAACTTAGAGTATTATCTTTAGCCCGGAATCGACTAAGCACATTAAGTTGGGATGTATTATCAGGAACGCCATTAGAGTATATTGATCTATCCAATAATGAATTACTCGCGGTACCAGCTGGTGTGCTATTGAACACGGGCTCAACTCTAAGACATCTTTTATTGGCTGGTAATCGGATAGATCATGTTGATGGGACAACGTTTTTTGATGTGCCMAGATTAGCCAATTTAAGTTTGGCGAATAATAAGTTGACAATAATTCCAGACAACACATTTGTTGGACTCACGAATCTTATTTCATTAGATTTGTCTTCAAATAGCCTAAGAGCGAATTTCAAAGAACTTTTCCACTATGTACAAAATGTTAGGCATTTAAATCTGGAAGATACAGGGCTAATCGAAACGCCACCATTACCACTTCCTAGTTTAATTTCACTTCGACTGTCAAAAAATAAATTAGAAAAAATATCCAGATCTTCAATGGAAATGTTGTCCCGGCTCAAAACATTGTTCTTAAATGACAATAAATTAAGTTCTTCTCCGTCACACGCTTGGTCGTTACTACCATCATTAAAAACATTGGATCTATCTTCAAATCCTATAAAAGTAATTTCTTTTTAATTTTAGCTATTTTAAAMTTTTCATAAATATACTGTAATCACGCTTATAAAAACCTACTATTATTGATTGGAATAAAATAAAAATAATTTTCGAATCAAATATCTAATTCATTATTTTTATATTTTTATTTCAGACAATAACTAAAGCAAGTTTTTCAGGMTTGTCCCGTTTGCAGCATTTACGAGTTCAAAAACTCGATTATTTAGACCGTTTTGATGCGGGATCATTATCCAAGTTGTCCACACTCCGGTCATTAGCTACTGATTGGCGACCTAACCTTGGACAAATCGTATGCGCTGCTGTTAAGTCAATCCGTAGACTTTCGGTTCACGTGAAAGGATCTAAATTAATAGGACCGATAGTCGACACCTGCGGTCCCAAATTAGAATCCGTGGCCATAACGGGATCGAAGTTGCAGTTCGTTGATCGGCAGGTATTCTCAGGTCTAGAGCGTGGGGTCGGTGAACGACTAGCAATTAGYATACGAGACACTGCAATTGAAGATTTGCCTTCTGATCTATTGCTGCCATTGGTTGGCGTACCGAAACTCGCACTGGATTTAACTGGTAACAAGCTTACATCACTCAATCCATTGACAATATATTCCAATTACACGACATGGGAAAACTCCGGGACAAATATATTAAAAGGTAAGTGTTTCTCAATTAAATATTTTACACTAACCCATATTATAATACATAATATTAAGTATATAAAACCACACTTCAACAAATTACTAACCAAAATAAAATATTAAATTATAACTTCAAAATAAATATAAAATGTTAACTGTTTGATATTCAATATAATATATAAACTCTAATACCTACCTGCCTAAATTATATAATAAATGTATTCTAAAGTTCACATACGTTTTCTTGTGACAAACAAATAATGTATTCGTTACACGTCACATTTMACAATATTTTACACTAGTATTCTATTATCATTTAATTTATAAAATTTAACATCAAAAATAAAGTTATAAAGTTATTAAAATAATATTTATTATTAAATTGATCTATTACACCATAAAATATAGTTAGAAATTAAATTATTATATTATTAAAATGTATACCTTTTCCTCTTCATTTTGTGTACTTACTTCAAAAATGAGCAGAATAGCTCTACCCTCTTTTTATCAGGTTTTATTTTTTCATTCATTAGAGATTTATATACTGACTCATAWTTTATGTTCTACATTTTAGATAATTATTTAGGTACTCATTCGTATATATTTATACTGTAATTTACATTCATAGTTTTGTTTCATTTCTGCATAATGAGTTCATTACAAAAAAAGAAACAAAAAAATAATGGCTTATTTACGTTRTGTTGGGACTGACGAGTGTAAAAAAGAATATAAAAGAAGACAGGAATACAAAGAAAACATGAGATTCGAGCAAATTGGGTGACCATAGAATTATAATATAATATGTATATAAATTTAAACAATGTCACACGTGGTTTATTTGCCGACCGGTCATTGTTCATGCCATGCAAACATAATGGCATTTTTTGTGTGTATATGCGTGTATCTACAGGAATAAAAAAAATTAAGAGAGGAAAAAAGTACCAAGTACTTCGAGTATTTAGGCTGACAAGAGTGCTAGTGGCGGAAGTTTGTGTTGTATTTTTTTCACATTTATTTATTTATTTTTTTTTTGTTTCTCCTCCAGAATGGCTGTGTTCGCTACTGTGAACTGAAGTGCTGACGAAGTGCCGCTTGAAAAGAATGAGTATGTGGTGGCATTGGGATGAGTGAGGAATAGGGGTTATATTAAAGCACATCTGTGTCGGGTAGGATATATTTTTCACCCTCCACGGTATCTAACGCACGACTTTTTGTCGTACCGCGATTTTCTTTTCGGTCGCTCTTTCTTCTCTCACTCTTCTATACACGTGTACGTATTTTTGCTTTTCCGTTTGGTCGATATAAGTAAACACACAACCACAAAGAGCTGTCGAAATGACAAGTTGAAAATATGTCTTTGCCATATTATTATTATTTAACATTTAATACTAAAAATATTATATTATGTGTAGGTCTCTAATATCGATGCAAAAAATAATATTATCAAAATAGTAGGTATTATAATAATCATTCCTTAGTGTAAATAATTTATTTATATCGATGATGACTAGAGGCGGGTCAAATGACACATGCCCGATAACGATCACAATTTTCATTACAATCATGCCAGTGTAACATAATATGAACATATGATTAAGGGGACAAAATATGTGTTCGTCATTATAAGAGGAAATGTTAAATGTATATTTTACTAGACATTTCAATTGTGACAGTTTTATTACATGAGCTTTTGATGGCTAAAAATAAACCAATACTTAAATCTTAAAAATATAAACCCCTTGTCTTCATGGCTTTATTTCTTTTACAAATAACTCAAATTAGCGCATTTGTTTAATTTTATTCTATATATATATATGGCGTACTTCTATAAAAAAAAAATTAACGTAATTTGAATATCACAGTTAAATCCATCAATATTATATTAATATTTTTACTACTGAAAATTATTATTTTCTTAATTAAAATATAAAATGTCATTGGAATCAGAAATTGAATTATACGAATAATTTATGTATAATACATTTTAGTAATTTATTTAAGCTACTATTTATCTTCTAATAGGTCTAAATTTAGGTATATTAATATATTATAGTACCCATATAGACACATAGTGTACATAAACACGTAAGTGCATATTAAATTATAATTTTCGAATAGATTTACACTTATAAAATATATAATTTATTTTTAATACACCAATAWCTATTACTTTTCATAATACTATAATATATAATTATATACAAAATATGCAGCATTTAACTATTTYTCCTAGTCATCAGATTTTTGATACATCATTATTTTTTGTATATTTACCTATTAAAACGTTGTATTATTATTTAAGTATAAATATAATAATAAGTGATTACTGATTATTCATGATTATTTTWACAATTCATCGCACATGAATATTATTTTGTATACAACTAAAATAACATATATTAATATGTTTATTAGAAGAAAACAGACTAAAAAATTTAAATAAATTTTGTTCATATTCAACTTTACAAAAAAAGTATGGTTTTTACGACTTATAAAAAATTCAGAAATAATTATAAAACTCCGTTTATTTTGATTTATTATAGCTTATTAAATTTTTTTGGTGGTTTAGAACTATTTCAACGTCTTCAAGTTATTTTAAAAGAGATCGTTTTAGTACCTAACTAATAAAGCAAGAAATCCTTATCAATTGAGTTACCAAAACTTTTTGAACTTATTCCATTGAAATTTTATTTGCACGCTAAAAAACATTTAAGTAGATGTGAAACACATTCGCTAAAATGTCGTA